AAAATAACAAAAAAAGAAATAATACATGCTTCAATGTCTTTTGAAATACTCATTCCCAAGGTAACTTTTCTAAATTTACAAAAATGCAACCTAAAAAAATTCTAAACAAGATAAGATCACTTTTAGGGTGTGTTTGCAAGAGGTAAATTAAAGAAATAAGGAAAAAATGTGGGAAAACAAAGAAATATCAAAAAGGAAATGTGTTTAGACGAAAATATGGATTTATTAGTGTTGGACTCACTATGTAAAACTCTCTTGTAACATTATAAGTTTTTATTAATTATTGTCTTTTAACAAAAATTGTGTGCTAAGTTGCTTTAAAGTAAGGTGTTAAGAGATTTTAGGAGTTAAGAAACTCTTAAAGAGTCTTTAGGTATTTTAAAAAGTTTTTGGACAAAGGTCCAAACAGACCCTAAGAGAAGGAGTATATAAGATTTCTATAAAGATATGAGCCTCGTAAATTCAATTCTTCAAAATCGTAAGTTTCCTTCTTCTATAAACCTTCTTCAGAAAGGGGGATTCTTTCCCTGTTAATTTGGTTTGTTTTTGATGATTCAATTTAGTGAACTGTGAATACAAATGTTGTTTCATGTGGAGTTCTTTAGAGGAGCTCAGATTTCTTCATCCTTCTTCTCTTCTCTTCCTCTTGGAGATTTTTGGAGGTAAGAGAAGCTAGATACATGTTTACAATGAGTTGTGTAGAGTTTCTTGTGGTTTGATTATTATCAAATGTAGTCATGTGTTGGATTTTTGGATAGTTTGATGGAAATGAGGTGTCAGAGTCTTTAAGCATGTGTGGATGGGTTTTGGATGATTTGATCTTTTTTTTTTTTGTTGCATGTTAATATTTTGGTGTGAAATAGTTTGTTTATAAGTTATATGGATGATTTGCGTTGTATGCGGAAATTTTGCTAAGTTTTGGGTGGTTGGAGGCAATTTGTGAATTTATTAATTAAGTGTAGAACTCACTATTGCATTGGGCATGTCTTCATAACACACCCTCAATCAAGGGCATCTATCCTACTTATATCGAGTGTAGGATTGATGGTGCTAAGTGTGAGGAAAGAGATTTGTCTTAGGTTAGATTAGCATTAGATGGCAAAGGAGTGATGTCAAGTGTGAGAAGAGAGAATCATTTCGAGTTGATGTGAGGTCAAATGTGGGATTCTTCCATGCCAAGCGTGAGGTCTTAGGGGTTCCCTACCTCAGCCACGCCAAGCGTGGGTTGAGTGGCATTGAGCATGGAAGAAGTAGAGAGCTCCCTGCCTCAATGGTGTTGGACTCGAGATGTGTAGCTCTAGGCACAAGTTGCCTTGAAAATACTTGTTGTCTTTGTACTAAAATGGTGAACATGAATAGATTAGGTGTGTTTATTTTATGTTGTATGTTTAATGGTGATGTTGTTTTATGTATATTGATTTAGAATGATATATATATATATATATATATATATATATATATATACATGTTTGTATGGTTGACTGGTTAATATGCATATGCTAAAAATTGGTGATGTTGCTAGATCTCTATATCCATTGACCTGGGGTAATGCATATAGATGACGATTGTTGAGGTGAATGCTAAGAGTGCTTTAAGCATTTAGTCATAGTGTATTGACTTGTTGAGGTGTTGACACTAAGAATATTGCATGTGGACATTAAAACATGTTGATTGACTTAGGACTAGAGGAGAGAACATTTTTTTAAAATATGAATGTTCATATGTGATTAAATTACTTACTATTATAAGGTTGTTGATGTCATGTTGAGTGATTTGTCTTGTTGATTCATTGTGAACCATGAGGTGTTTTGTTATTGGTTTACATGTGGGTGTTGGTGATTAGTATAATTATTTTTATTTCTATACATTGTTATATGATTATTTTTTTTAAATCTAGCTTACCTTTGTATTCCCTTGGTGTTTGGACTATGATAATCATGTTTATATGAAAACAGGGCAGGGCTAGACGGAGACTGGTGATGTTTTGTGGAGCCATGTTGTTGGTGAGTAGCTTGTGAGGTATTTTTTAGACTAGATTTGTTTAGAAGTTTCTTGATTGATAACTTAAGATTACTCTTTTATGATTTTTGGATTACTGTATAGTCTTTTATATATATATATATATATAGATATATATATATATATATATATATATTGTGACGATAGTTGTGTACATTTATGTGTATATTATATTGTGATTGACAAGATATATTTAAGCATCAATCATAGGTATTTGTTAGTTATTTTCTGCTACTAGTTGTTGGTTCTATTAAGTGTAGTGATTATGGCAAGTCATTATACTTTAATGATATCAGAGCTAGCCAAATCTTTTAGACACTATCTTTCTATTTATATGTTTTTTGTTTATAAGACTTGAATATGAGATTTTACTTTTTAAAAAAAATGAATCCAACTTTACTTAAACGAATGGTACATAAAAGTTAGTTGTTGAATTTATACATGAATATATATATTTGTATGTTTAGAATATTTAACACTTTTGTTAAAAATGTCTACTTTAATTAATAAAATACCCCCTTAACTTTTTTAAAGATAAAAACATATTTTCAGAAAATTACTTTCTAAAAGATAAAAAATATACTTTTAGGAAAAACTTTTTGGAAGAGAAATATTTTCCTCTTTTGAAAGTATATTTTAAAAACTAATAAACACAATTTTATAACAAAAATAAAATAGATATTATTTCTAATTAATAGTTTATCATAAAATCAATATATCATATTTTTAAAATGACATCTTCATAAAATTCATAACCTTGTATCAAATGTTTACAGTATTGAATATAAAGTGAAAATTGAAGCTTAAAAATGTTAAAATTATGAGTAAAAAAAAATAGGATTTAAAAAACAATAAAGACGAGTCAGGAAATTGATTGTTGGAGAAAAATTAAAAAAAAAAATGTAAAATAAAAGGAGACATGTGAAAAGTTGTTAAAGAGAGATAAAGTAGTCAAATAGGAAGGGAGAAAGACATGCTAAATGAAGAAGATAATTTTTAAAAATAAAATTTATTTTAAAAAAGAGAAGTATCTATTTTTTCAAAAAAAAAATAATGTATTTAACATTTTCCTCTATTTATCCAACTCCAATATAGTAAATACAAGTTTTTATATTATATAAGAATATTTTTAGGAGAGTTTTAAGAATTTTTTTCCTTTTTATCTAATTCAGTTTATATTTATCATAATTATTTATAAATTAAATTTTAATATTTTTAAAATAAATTATTAACAGATAAAAATAATATTCTGCTATAATATAAATTATTTATCATAAATTTATATTATAATTTAAAATTTATTATAAATTTAAATTATATATAATAAATATTTCAGCTGGTAAAATACTAAGATAATCCATATGCGAAACAGAGAAACCGAATTGTCTTTTGTAGGTTCAGAGGAAACATGGTCACTTTTTTGCTCCAACGGATTCAATGTCCGCAAAGCTGACAGCATCACATTCACCTCATATCACTAGAGTGCCATCACTTGAACACCAATTTTGTTTCAACATGGAACACAATCCCCACTAGTACTACTCATCACAGCTTTTATTCTATAACCATCATTTCATTTTATTTTCTTTTTTGAATTATTTTATTTCATATACAAACATTTTTTCAAAATTTATTAAGTGGGTATTTAGGTCAATAACATAAATAGTCTATTTATTTTTTTACAACATTCAGACAGTTTTCTTCTAAATAAATTTTTTTTTTCTAGAAACAGCCAAATCAAAAGTAGCATAAAGTTTATTAAATAAGCACTAAATTAATTAATTAAACTTGTGTTTTTTATTTAAATAGTAATTTTTTTAAATATTAATTGATTTATTTTTGGTAATCAAATATATCTAATTTACTGCAATATAGTAAATTAAAACATGAATGATATTCCTTTTATATATGACTGGAAAATCAACCTGTTAGATTTCTCTAACTACTATTTATTATGATAATGTTGTCTCATTAAATTTAATCTATCTACCAGTTGGTAGATTTAAAATAAAATTTCATAATTTAATCTATCATTTCGTACTCAAAAAAATAGTGAAGTACCCTGCTCAAAGGCTAGTGATGTGTGAGACAAACATATGAATAACACAACACTTACAAATTAGATACTCTCCAAACATTCCCACTAAAAAAACCAAAAGCAGAAGCACTCAAAAATAAATAAAAAGGAAAAATGACAGTGAAAAAATTAAGAGAAGGTAAAGAAAGATATAGGAGCTTTGAAAAGCTGGAGAAAGTTTGTAACATGACCTTTTTTCATTTATTAAAGTACTAGCAAAATTCAAAATGAATGAAGAATATTCAAAATTCAATTTTCATAATAAATGCTTCTAGAGAGCTGAGTTACACAAATGATTCCGTGGCTGTATTAAAATGTCCTATACTGAATACTAATAATCGAGTGAAACTACCAAAGGAAGAAGGAATAGGACAAACATTTGGTGAAGATGTCATAAACATTGACTATAGTTACAATGTTATGAATCTCACTGTAGATCACCGTAATACTTAAGTGGACTTTCTCATAAAAAAAAATTAGCCTTTCATTAAAATTGAGCTGAAAGAAAAAAAAATTAAGTGGCAAACTCGAGTTTTAGAGAATATCGATGAAAACATAGAAGGTAACGTATGATCAGTTTGATGTTCATTTGGCATTAAATTGGCTCCTTTTCCGTGTTTGTTTGATTTTGTAGCTTGTTTATTCATAATTGCTTAACCTGGTGCACATAACTAAGGAGAAAAACATTATCTCTTAAGTTATCTACTTAAGTACATTGTCAAGACTTCTATTACTAGTTTGTGATAATAAAAAAAAAAAAAGCAAAAAATTAGTCTCATATAAATCTCAGTATTTTGAAAGATTAAAGATTAGAAGATATCCTAATTCACTCAAAATAACTTGAGAAAAATATGACATCAGCTAACAAACCTAGGATGACTCCTTAGTTGAAGAGGCACAAGGATAAGGCAAGATAGGTGCAAAAAATATATTGATTCTGAATTGAAATAAAACTGTTGTAACTTTTTCAAAAGCTCTTTGAGGGGTCTTGCAAGTATGTATACTATTTCTAATAGTCTAGATAACAGATTTTAACAAAGTGAAGCATGGAGAATGTACAATTCAGAAATGAAATGAGCAAATCAAACATCATCAGCATCACTTCCAGCAACATGAGCATCTTGAGATGCCAAGTAGAGGCTGCCATCAGGTCCCAACACCTTAAACCTACTCAATAATAAAGCACTTGAGATCAAATTGTGAACTATTGGAAGCCAATTTTGAAAACTCAAAAGACAAAGATAAAACAAAAGCTGTAGAGTATATATGCCTAAACATAGATAAAATAACTGTTTACCTTTCAAGGATAAACTTTCCTTCTTTGTACTTCTGAGTCTTCTCATGAGCAGACTCCTGAAATGAAATAAAGAAAAATATGTTGAACAATAGTATTCCAATGCCCACAGCATTTTGTTAAGTAGACAAATAAATCACAAAGCATGAAGGTTTTACAAACTGGTCCTCACATATTTCCATCCAACAATGGACCCGCATACAACGCAGAATATGTCTACGACAGTGTGCAATCCAGTGATCATCATCCGTTCTTCTTTCTCACCAACAGTGACATTCACACTGTCGTAACATAGATCAACAAGATGTTATTTGAAGGACTCATATTCAACTACTTCTAATAGTGATCTTAAGTTTCAATTTTAATCAAGTAGCAATTGTGCTATTGGTGCATTCAAGATTTACGAAAGATAGAAGTTCAAGTTTTTCTCAAAGATATTACAAATTCCACAAGAAATTAACTTGCAATTTTAAAGTAAAAGAAATTTTATTGGCAGTAAAAGATGGGGAAATGCACCTACAACCATCATGCACAAGTATATTGGCTATATACATATTGGCACAACAATCTTTAACGAATAGAGGTTTTACATCAGCACCTAATAATGCTTATGTTAATGTGATAGAGAGAAAGTCAAATAACACTTACACTTTATCAAAAAGATATGCTTTCCCATGCCTGCAATGGAAAGCCTAAGAAAAATAGGGTCAGATTGTCTGAAGTTTCCAAAATTTACTCATATACTTAGTTTGCAAAATGCACAATTAAGGATTCAAATATATATTGGCAACAAAGAGAAGGTGGACCGGCAAATATTCTAATCTTTCCCAAAACATCTCTAATTTGACAAAATTATTTTGCAAGGGTATCACAGAAGGCTTCAATCAGGTGCCATAATCAGGGGAGGGAATAATTTTAATGCTCTAGAAGTTTCATATGAAGACATCCTATACCAATTCTTATGCAGATAATAAATCAAAAAGATAGTATGTCAATAAATTCATGAATGAAATTTGAATACACTGATAGAGAAAGAATTCATAGTTTTAACAAGTTCAGATAGGGATGTTGAATGACAAAAAGATTTTACCAAGTCACCTGGGACTGGGAACATGGCCATTTAAATATAACTGAAAAGTCAAATTAGGAAATTGTCAACAATTTAGAAGTCTTATAAGATATACAATCTATGTAAAAAAGGTATTTCAAACACTTCATCCTCCAGTTTGTACATTGTGGTTTCTGATTCATTTTTGCTTATTGACATGCCCTGTATGAGCCTATCTTGCTTCACTTTTTACATGGTTGTACCAATTACAATCTTCCTCAAAAGGAACAAAACTAAATCATCATTGAATTAAGAAAATCTTCTACGCAAGCAAACTTCTAGCTTCGAAACATTAGCATTTGGTCTGAACTAGAGTAGCACAATCATAATGGCATTACAAGTATTTTGCACTATTACAATCCCACACAAAAAGAACTCAAAAACCATACTTCATCGCTCTTGAAACACATTTATAACTAGTCCAAATAGCAGATCCTTCCACAGCCAAAGAATCACGCAACAGCATGGTATAACGTCTCAACCCAACACATACAAAATTCCAAAAAAGCACAGATACATGAAATGCAGTCACTAAGATACCAACATAGAAAAATTAAAAAATATAAGAACATGACAAGACATGGGCACATGTATAAGAAACACCGATGACTAAGCACTACTGATGGTTATCAGTAGAACATCAACAAGTATATCGAAACTGGAACCATATATAAATGTTCGTCATGTACTTGAAAATTATACCCCACTTTAGTTGATCATATCCTATCTTCTATTGTCACCCTCTCTTCGAGGTGAATCACTACATCCCTCTCATGATGATTAACCAGCAAAGACGATCACATAAAATAAAAGCCTTACACTTAAATATAATAACAACTAGTTATCGAGCAAAACACCAGAATTATCGTTACAAAATATTTTATAATCAAGTACTGAGAAATCAAATTAATGGCCAAGGGAAGGGAATAAAAGGGAGAGAAAAACCTTGGAAATGATATCATCATCAAGAGCAAAATGTGTTTGGCAGTGTTTGCAGCTATAAAAGTTTCCTTCAAGATTGATCAAGAAAAGCCTTCCCATGTCTCCCTTTACACCAATCTATCAACTTGAAACCACCCAAAAAAACTCTTTAGAAAACCACCCAACAAGAGAAAAAAAAAATTAAAATAAAAACCACCAACCCAGAAAGGAAAACACGAAAACAAAGAGAACCCTGATAGTGTCAAACACAAAAAATCAACCCCATGATGTAAAAAGACGAAATTGAAAATGTAGGCATGTAATGCAACCTGACCCAAGAAACCCAAAAAAACGTAAATGTTAATGAGAAATTGGGATGGTTACGGAGAAAGAGAAAAGGTGTTGAATGCAATGAATCGGTCTCCCGAAATTTGGAATTTGTTAATTACAATGTGAAATTAAAGGTTTACACTTTGGTTTTGGAATGATGACTCTCGTTACAAATTTTGTGTGTCTTCTTCCTATGTGTACATGTCTATGCTGCTATTATAATTTGTTTTTATTTTTATTTTTCTTTTAGAATTTGTTTTTATTTTCATTTTTCTTTCTTTATATGTTTGTTGGGATGAAAATAGTTACATAAAATTATATAAATTAAAATTTAAGATTAATTTATTATTTATCATAAATTTTTTATAGATTTGACTTTATTTTTAAAAAAAATCTGATCTAATCTATTAACATATTTAAAAATTCATTTTACTTTAACAAAGTTAAATAGATTAATAAATTTAATTTTAAATAAGTCAAAAAAACTTAATTTTTAAATTTTAAATTTGACTTGAATATTCAAAAGTCTATTTTACATTAATAAAATTAAGTTAGTTAATAAGTTTAATTTAAAATAAGTCAAAAGAATTTATTTTTATGTATTTTAACAATGCATGAGTTTTTTTATTTTTTTATTTGCATGATGAAAACTTTACTCTATTATTATTAAGAGCTTAAAATAAAAATGAAAATAAAAATTAATGTAATAGAGACAACTCATATGTATCCATTATCTCTACACTCATATATAAGACAAAAGAAAATAACTTTTTCAAAAAAAATATTTTTAAATATTCTCTATATTTCATTTAGATTATTTTGAATAATCAATCATAAAGATAAAGGAAAAGAGTAGATGAAGATACAATAATTAAAGTTTTTATTTTATATTTATTGAATTCCTACGAATAAAAAATTATAAAGTATTTAAGTATAATGAAAATATAAAAATATTATTAATTTTATTTTGTTTTAAAAATTTATTTATTTAATTATATTGTTAAAAATATACTATGTATATTATTTTTTATTATATCATCTATACTTATATTTAAAAGTGATTCCATATTTTTGTGTGCACACATATTGAATTTTACCATCATAAGTTATAGTCACTTCTAGTCCACTTGCTTACATTTTCTTTTTTGAATCTTTCTTTTCCAAACTTCCTAAATAATTACATATTTATTATTTATATTTTTACAAGTCTAAATTTAGACTTTTTAAATAAATAAGTTTTTTTAAAACTTAAATATAATTTTTTTTATTAAATAGATTAGATCACGAATCTTTATTTAAACTTTGATATAATTTTATTCTTACTTATTATCCGATTGTATGAGTTAGTATTGTATGATTGAAAATTATTTATTTTTAATTATTTAAAAATTTAGAAAGGTGTATTAGATTGAAATTTCATAATACAAAAAAAGTATTATGAATTTTAAAATACTTTGTAAAAATATAATGACTTTTAAGATATTTTTTAATTGTATTTTATAATTAAGATATTGTAATATGGATATTTTAATAAATTTATATATTGAGAATTTATGAGATTTTAAAGAATTTTATAAGATTTCAAATAATAAAGTGAATTTTAAAAAAAATAATACAATTAATAAAAAAAATAACATAAATGATAAGGTTTGAATAAAGAAAAATAAAATTAATAAAATTTTTCAATCTTTTAATAAATAATTGATTTTAGCTTCATGTTTTTTTGAGTAATATTTATTTACATATACATGCATTGATATTTTCTCATTCTTTTCTTTTAGAATGATCTTTTCTCATTCATGCTATTGAATTTGAAAATATTCACTAAAAGACTGTCATTCATTTGACATTATTGAATTTGAACAATATATTCAAATTTATTATATTCATTAACCAGGAGAATTGTTATTAATTTGAATAATATATTCAAATTTGACTCACTATGTCAAGTTAGGTTGGACCTTTTAGTTTTAGGCTCAAAAAAGATTGGACCCAACTTGATGGGCTAATAAGATCAAACTAAGTCACTAAAAAATATTTTCTTTGAAGTTATGTCTAGATTAGAAAATTTAAAAGTTGAGATGCTTTTAATTGTTTTCATTGAATAATTTAATTCAAAATTTTAAATTTTAAATACTTAATTTTTACCATTTACAAAAATTATTTTTTAAAATATGTTTAAAAAATTGTAAGCTTCTCTAAAGTGAGAAATTTGTACTTTAGAGAATAAATTGCAATAATAGTTATTGATTAAGAAAATCAATAGTTGGTATTACAATGAATTTTAAATTTTTATTTTATCAAAAATACTTATTATTGATTTTATAATCAATAATTGTGACTGTGAGTGCATTTTTTTTCTTTAAAGTACAACCTCTCACTTTAGAAGAGTCAAATTCATCATTTCAATATTAAATTTTATTAAAAATAAACATGCAGTTAAATTTTAATAATTTATATTTTTAACAGTAGATAATATTTAGTAATTTAAAAATAATTTTAATATTTAACAATTCAAAAAATAAATATTGATAAACTATACATCAATATTAATAAAAAAATATGGGAAAATAGAAAGAGAAAAAAAGAGAGACATAAATGAGAGACATAAACGAACGAAGAAAAAAAAAGAAAAAAAAGGATGACACATAGAGGTCAAGAGAAGAGAGAGAGAGAGAGATGAGAAAGAAAGAGAAAAGAGAAGAGAGCGAAAAAGGGGGATAAAAGAGAGAGGGGAGAAAGGAGAAAGATAGAGAAGCAAGAATTGTGAGAAAGAAGATTTAAAAAAGAGAAATAAAAGAAAAATGAGAGATAGAAGAAGAAATAGTCATGTAAAATCCTGGTATTTAAATTACTTTAATTTTAATTTCTATCTTTCTTAAAATATTTTGTTTGGATAAGTCAATTTAAATTTTTTAAATTTTAAATTGTTAGGTTCAATATGATAATTTGATTCTACCATGGTAAAATTGATTTTAAAAATATATTTATATGTTGAGATTTTTAAATTAAATTTTATAAAATAAATTTTAAAATTAATATCAGATAATATTTAATAATTTTAAAAATATTTTTGAATATTCAATAATTAAAAATATGAAGAGATAAAATAAAATATATAAGTGAAATAAGAAAAAAAAATGAGAAATTTCAAATTTTTACTTTTTTGGGAGAATTTGAAAATTTACTATTTCAAAAAATTTCACAAATGCTTAGATTTCAAATTCTTTATAAATTATTTATCTAAATAAGATATTTCACCTCAAAGAATTTGAAATTCTTCAAACAGATGAATTACTCCATTTAAAATTCTCATCCAAATACACTATAAAGATTTTGATAAAATTATTGGATAAGTGAATTATATGCAAATTCTAATAAAAAAATCTAACAAAATCTATCTTACAAAATAATCTATTGAAAACTCTAACTTAATTAAATACTACTAGATTTTGATATATTCTTAAAAAAAATGATTGTTTTAATTGAAAATCACACAACTTTTTTATATTAAAAAAACTTAGTTGAATACAATAAAAAAATTATTATAAAATAAAAAATTTTAAAATTCTAATTCAATACTCCCTTTTTATATTTAAGATAATTTTTAATTTATAAATAATATACAACTTTTTACTTTGATAATATATCTAAATCAATAATGGGGGAGAGACAATATATAATCATCATAGCAATTGGTTGGTGTAAAAGTATCTTTCTTTTATGATTGTCTCTTTTTTTGTTAATACTAAATGTGCTCAAATTAAGCTTGTCAAATATATTTATGATAAATTTTACCCAGCCTCGAACTTGATGATTAATGTTCAAATATCATTTTTTTGCCTCAAAATATGTTCCCTATAGGAAAATCTCAAAATTTATCTCTATTATTAATTAATTTTGGCCATACTACCAATTTCGGTAAATATTTGGGTTTTCTTTTTTTGTTGGGAAGAGTTGAGAAAAGTGAATTTTCTTTCATTATGGAAAAAATTAATGCTAGATTATAAGAGTGAAAAAGTAAAAAGAAATTTTAGTTTCATAATCCGTTATGTTGTGAATATATTTATAAGAGCATTAATTCAGTTTTATTTTTGGTAGCTCTCATCCTCATTAGGTGGGATGAGATACAACCATTAAACCTAGGACCAAAGGGAGATTAGGAATTAGACAAGCAAAAAATTTTAATATTGCCTTACTTGGGAAGTATTCTTGGTCTTTTATGTTTAATCCTCGCAAATTATCTGTTCAAATACTTAGAGATAAGTATTTTTCAACTATGAATTTGATGTATGCAACTTTGGAGATACTTGGATTTAATTTTTAAACTCTGGGATAATTTAAAATCAGCAGCCTTCTCCTATTTCCTCTTTCCTTTATTATCTCTATTATTTTGTTTAATCCTTCGCTTGAAGTGATAAATACCGTTCCAATTTGGAATTTTTTATGGCCTCATTACTGTAAAAAAAATGCTTATGATGACAACATACATACATTAGACAATACTAATAAGATAGAAGTGTTGTTATTATAGTTTGGTCACATTTAACAACACTTTAATAGAATAAAATAAAAAAGTAGTTCTATATATTGACTCTCTTATAACACTTTTAATAAAGAGCATTGTCCATTTTCTTAAAATAACAATAAACAACATTTTCTCATTAAAATGTTGTAAATGAGATTTTAATAGTATTTTTTTAAATAAAGATATTAACCCACTTAATTTCACATAAAAGTTAAAATATCATACTCCTGCATAAATATAGCATCATTACTCTTGCCTTTCGTTCAACCCAACTATTATTCACATTTCACTCACCACACAACTATTGTTGAACTCATCATGTTTCCTAGCATTAATATTCACTCTCACTTAGTGAGATTTTCACCACAATCATCAATTCCTAATTAAGTGCATGTTGTGATTATGTTTCATTTTGTTTTTAATTACAAAAGAAGGTTTATTTTTGTTCTTCTTGTTTTTTCGCACATTTCTATTACTCATCAATTTCATTAAAATATATGAATGTTAAGATCTTGATATCATCACCATGGTGAATTAGGATTGATCCATCATTCATGTATTGATCGTTATTGAGTGATAATGACAATTGATTTGTTCAATTAATATTATGAAAGGGATTGGAGATAATTAAGATGAAGGTCAAGTTTATGTGGTTCCTTGATATAATTATATTAAATAATAGAAGATTTTTTTCCATCAAAAAATTGAGTACCCTATTGAGAAATTAGTGAAAACTTGCCATTAACAAGACCAATATGCCTAACCTTGATTCATTAAATATGGAAGTTTGTCATATGTACACCCAAATACAATATTTGGATGAGAAATTTGGTTGTTACTGCCTACATATAGTTAAGTTTTAGAGAGTTGGAAGGTATTATGCAAGAGATCAAGTGGGTAATTGGTGGGTCATAGAATGTAGATAAAAGGGAATCAAAGAGAATTAGATGAGTACGGTGCTTGCTAAAGGTGTCTTTAGAGGGAAAAAATAATGAATTGTTCCTAGGTAACTTATGGTAGAGTAAAAGGGTTGTACCATGGTTACTAGTTTCAGGATTGTAAAAAAAAAATATATATATATATATATATATAT